GGAACATAAAGTATGAATATATAATTCCTTGAGCAGCAATGAAGACTGTCATGATGTATGCAATGAAGAGAAGCTCTTTCGTGAAGAAGAGGACATTACCAAGCCATGCTATGCCCATCACAACAGTCAGTGATAATGATGATTTCAACCAATATCTGCAAACAATGAATTAATATAATATACTAGAGAATCAGTAAATACTTTATATTACTGTATTGACTATTTTTTGGTTGATTCTTTCTGTGTCTTCTCATTATTGCAATAGCCATGATAAAAAAGCCCATATTAATCTAATTGAATTATGTTATAAAAATGTTATGCATGCAGTAATAAGTTCACCAGAATGATGAGTATGACAGGTGCAATGAATGTCCATTTGAATTTAGTTTCATAACTCAGCCAGCAACTATTGTACATCATAATACAACTAGTATATACTGTTACTTACGCAACCAGTTCTTCATTATCATAATACAAGTAGTGATTAGGTTGATCATTACCAGTATCAACTAGATATCTAATAGGAACAACTATCATCATATAAACTGCTGGAATACCTTTTATACACAATATAGCATTGTCACTAAGTATACCATTCACTTACCATAACTTAGAATAGTAAATAATACTCCATAATGTTGTGTCTGAGTAGAAAACACTTTTGCCAAAGCAATGTATAGAACCACTCCTTCCATTAGCATCCACATGAATGTGACTAGAAACATGTACTGGAGTACAACAGCAATAACTGAACAAGCAACCTTAAGATTTAAAGAATCAATGTTATGGCTAATATTAATTTTAATATGCTTTCAGTTCTCTGTATACCAAATAAGAAAATCACTTGTGATAAGAACAAGTTGGTACACGGCATTATGTGTATGTAGTTACTCAAACTGTAGAGCTTCCTGCAATAAATGATAACAAATTGCAAATAAAAAGCATGCCCTACCTCATGCAAGAGTATGTCAGTATCAGTACTGTTAGTAACATACTATTACATACCAATGAGATAGGGACAAACACATAACCAATGACGGTCAGAATGTCAGCGTGTACTGTATCAACAGTCTACACATTAAAATGTTAAAATAATAACTAGTAATTCTAGACTCACTCCTGCTCCAGGGCTGAGTAGAATTGCAAAATGAGTCAAATGATTACAATGACAAGTGACATGTAGCACCATTATAACCTTCTTTTTTAAAACATAAACTAGCAGCACGAGGAGAAGAACCATTCCCACTTTTCAATTTTATTCCATTATTCTTATTTAGCTCACCATTACTGTAGCAATGACGTTGTTGTTTAAAACCTGCATTGTTTCTTATTGCTACAGTCCAAGGTTCACCATAAGGTATATAGTGGTATTGTGTCCATACTAATAAAAATCCTTCAATACTGTCACTAATATCAATCTCAATAAAAGTTGGTTCATTCCAAGATCCAGGAGAATAAACTGGTATTTTATTCAGTGATGAATTGGTACTGTTGAAATTTGTCCAATTATTGTTAGCAACTGGAGCATAATAAGCTAAGTGACGTGTTTCATTTTGATCAGTAATCATAGAGAGAAGGACAGGATTGGGAGCAGAATTAACAAGTTGAACACATCCATCCATTCCAAGGTAGAATTTAATTGTACTATAACCAAGACATTCAATTATACATAAGATTAAACTATTTTTACTTTCTTCCTTTAGATTGGGTTGGTAACATTGTATCATTGCCCCAAACTTCCCCCATAGGTACACTGATATTCTCATTATTGATTAGCATTGAGCAGTTTGACTCAACGGCACTAAGTGTGTAAAAGGAGATCCTACCTTGATGATTTTGTA